AGAGTTTATGCTCTTTTCTATTTTCCTCAGTAGGATTTGAGTTCCAATTTTTAAAGGATGCCTTTATGCCTCTAGTCACTTGTTTTACTCTGTTTAGCCACGGTGACATTTTTTTTGGTCCTTACTATTCTTTATAATTTGGGGTATTTAATGTGAGCCTCTATTGTGGTGTTTTTAAAAAGTTTCCCTGCAAATTGCAGGCATTTTATTCTTGTGGCTGTGCCTTTTAATTTCTGTTTAACTAGTTTCTTCATTTTTGTGTAGTTCCCCTTTATGAAGTTAAATGCTACTGTGGTGGGTTTTTTTGGTATTTCCCCCCTCCAAGGATGTTAAATTTAATTATATTATGGTTGCTACTACTGAGTGGTTCAGCTATATTCACTTCTTGTACATATCCTGTGCTCCACTTAGGACTAAAGCAGGAATTGCCTTTCCGCTTGTGGGTTCCAGAATTAGCTGCTCCAAGAAGCAGTCATTAATGGTGTCCAGAAACTTTATTTCTGTAACCTGTCTTGAAGTGACATATACCCAGTCAATATGAGAATAGCTGAAATCCACCATTATTATTGAGTTGTCTATTTGTATAGCATCTCATCTCACAGAGCATTTCATAGTCTCCACCCTGGTCAGGTTGTCGGTAGCATATTCCTACTGCTATGCTGTTATTATTCAAGCACGGAATTTATATCCATACAGATTCTATGGTACAGTTTGATTCATTTAAGATTTTTACTATATTCGACTCTATGCTTTCTTTCGCATATAGTGCCACTCCTCCACCAGCACAAGCTATTCTGTCATTCCTAATATTTTGTATGTAAGAGGGAGGTGGAGAGGGATTACAAACTCATATTGGCATTTGGAACCTATAAAAAAATAGAAGCCAGCTGCCTTAAGCGTCTCACCCTCTTCTTGTTTTCTAGCTATGAAAGCAGGTAATTGTTGTAAGTTTACTTATTTTAGTAGCACCTAAAGCATCATTTCTGGCTCTTCCTCACCCATAGTCTGACCAAAATTTCTCATTTCTTTTATATCATGGTTTAAGGGCTAAGGCTTGCCTGAGTGAGAATGCAGGGCATTGACTTAACCCCTGCAGTCCCGTCCACCATTTTCTTCCTTTATAATGCAGTCCTCCCTCTGTACAGCAACAGCTATGTTGTAATGTTTCCTCATGGCCAAAGAGTTGGACAACCTCTTGCTGTTCACAAAACATAACGTTATCATAACAAGCTTCTGGATTCTTCAAGTTGGTAAATTTTGTATCCTTCTCAAGAGGTAGCAAATCCATTCTTTCACCACATGAAGAATTCTGAATGTAGATTCAAATGTAGGTCTTGTGTGTGGTTACACATTGTGCTGCCAGACTGCTGGAGCTGTCTGGGCTTAAACAGTTCCTTTAAATGGTGAAGATATTCAAGTATTTCTGTTTTCAGTATTCTACATTGTGCTAATAATATGGGGTGAAATCCTAGCCCTACTGAAGACAATGGAAGTTTTGCCATTAACTTTAATGGAGCTAGAATTTCACTCATGGTGTAGAGATCTCTTTATAGGTACAGCATGAAGTGAAAACTAAGGCATAGTATAATAAATTACAAGCAAAGTATATTATATTTAAGTCTTTTGGAGTTGTATATTGAGAAATCAATGAACTTTTGTCTGAAGGGCCATAGAATATACAACTAAAGTTTTCCAGAAGTACTGTGTTATTTCTGATAACTATGAAACTATATATATATATATATATATATACACACACACACACACACACACACACCTCTACCCCGATATAACGCGAACTGATATAACACGAATTCGGATATAACGCGGTAAAGCAGTGCTCCAGGGGGGCAGGGCTGCGCACTCTGGTGGATCAAAGCAAGTTCAATATAATACGGTTTCACCTATAATGCGGTAAGTTTTTTTGGCTCCCCAGGTACAGCGTTATATCGGGGTAGAGGTGTGGATTTTATATATATATAAAATCAACCAAAATTGTTGCACTTGGAAGTCTGACTAAGAAACTGGTGATTCTGAAGCTGCACAGTGAATTACTGTAAAAGGTTTATTACTAGATTGTGAAACAAACTCAATTCAGTAGAAACTTGTTAGATGCATAACATCATTACATATAAAATGTGTTTTAAACTGGTCTATGCCTTAGCAGGCAATCCATTTAGGAGATGATCAACAATAAATCAATGCCAGTTTTGCTATCTACTTAAATGGCTGTAGGATCATGCCTTTAAATCAGTTTCTTCATTGGAGTCAATCTTTAATTCCTTATTTCAGTTGACCTCATTGGGAGATTAACGTAAGTAAGAAGTGCAGAACTGAGCCCATTTCAGCCAATAAATGCTAAAAGCATGTTTGTTAATGTAAGTGGTTATGTACTTATTATGTGGTAGTTCTTATGAGTCCATAAGAACTATGAGTGAGATCGGCAAATCACTTGCCACATCATTGAACAGCTGACATCAGATGATGGCAAACTTCGGTGACTACTGCCCTGTGCTGGATTTGAACCAGTGACATAGGATCCATGTCTCATCAGCAAGCCCCTGAACTACCAAGCACCCCCAATAAAGATTTATTTGCCATTCAGTATTGAACCTAATCAATCTGAATTGAGAACCATGGAAGCTAGTAGGTGCTGAGCACTTGAGAAAATCCAGCCACTTCACTTAGGAACCTAAATGGGAGTTGAGTACTTCTGAAATCTGACCCAGGTTGCGGGTGCTGAGCATTACTGACAGAAAATCTGGCCCTTGATTTTCCCCAGTACCAGATATATCTGTGGGCCATTACTGCTGCTGCTCCTTTAAATAAATTAATGGAGATATCCTATCTCCTAGAACTAGAAGGGACCTTGAAAAGTCATCAAGTCCAGGCCCCTGCCTTCACTAGCAGGACCAAGTACTGATTTTGCCCCAGATCCCTAAGTGACCCCCTCAAAGATTGAACTCACAACCCTGGGTCTAGCAAGCCAATGCTCAAACCACTGAGCTATCCCTCCCCCCAGGGCATCTTTTCAGTGTGGGTGAGACACATTTGAATATTGTATTGAAGAACCAGGAAAAGATTCTATAAAAACTTCTTGTTTTAGAAGTGAAAAAGGAAATGGCAAAATACAAAAATAAATTGTCACCATCCACTTACCTGGTGTTATCTGTTAAAGCATACTGCAAACAAACAGTACTACTTTTGGCCTAAGAATTTGTGATAGGTTTATTAGGAATTAGGGAATCTTTTGGGGAAAGAGGAGCCTATATAGGAAGGATGGGCTCCACCTAAACCAAAACAGAACCAGATTGCTGGCATGTAAAATTAAAAAGGTCAGGAAGGAATTTTTAAACTAAGGGCTAGTGGAAAGCGAAAAGGTGCAAAGGAGCACTTAATTCAGACAGAGACATCCCACAGAGAGGGGATCTATTAATGAGGAGTCTCAATATCCTAGTAAAGAGAGGATAGAATTTGATAAAGTACAGGTAGGAACTGAAGAGAAACAGTCAAATGAAAAAAGAGTCCCATTCAATCACATCACATGAAGGCAGACAACTAAAAAGTGACACATTTTAAAAGTGTCTGTATACAAATGCTAGAAGTTTAAATATTGAGATGGGCGAACTTGAGTGCCTGGTATTAAATGAGAATATTGATATAATAGGCATCCCAGAAACATGGTGGAATGATGACAATGAATGGGACACTGTAATACCAAGAATTACCTCCTTTCACAGCTAGAAAACAAGAAGAGGGTGAGATGCTTAAGGCAGCTGGCTTCTATTTTTTATAGGTTCCAAATGTGAATATGAGTTTGTAATCTCTCTCCACCTCCCTCCCTCTTTTCCAGTCTGCTTCAAGACTCTGCTCCATGATGTCTCTAAGGTCAGCCAAAATTAGCACATTTATAAGCTCACTCATTCTATAGTCGTTGCTATAGTTTTTCCATTTATCTTATCCCTGGAGTCATTTAGGATTCTTGATGAATTATTTATCAGCATTTTTACTGTTCACTTTTGACAGGCAGATAAAATAAGATGTAAGAAGAAAATAAGTGATGCAGGTCTTCGTTTTCCCCCAGTCTGTGGTAAGGGGAAATGGGAGCCAACAAGTACATGTACAGTGCCATAAGTCCATCCTAAAAATAGCATAAGCAAACTTTAGCTGCAGCTACACACAGGCATAGCGATCACAGATGGAAAAGTCTTATTAAGTCATCTAGTCCATGCCACAAGCTTGCTTCCTCCAATACTTTGTTTTCTCTTGTTTTAAATGTCTTAAACAACTGGGCTTCCACCCCTTCCTTTGGGAGACTGTTCTACAGCCAACCCATCTCAGTGTCAGGAAGTTTTCCCAATATTAAGCCTAAGGTTTTTTTTTCAGTTTCATCCCATTTCTCCTCACTACCTTAAATTACGCCACCCTCATTGTTTATATCCTTCATTATACTGGTAATTGTTATAATGTTTTCCCCTTCATCATTGTTTACACACACAGCTCTTTGCCTCATGATGAAAATTTAAATCTATATTTGTTGCTCTTGTCTTAACCATCATCAGGTTGCAAATATTTTACCAGTAACGAGGTGCCCAGACACAATGCAGTATAGCAGGTGTGACTTCCCCAGAGCAGCAGAGAGTGGGGAAGGTTGCTGATCTGTGATGTGATGTCTTTGTGTATATGACCACCGTACAAAGCATAACTGAATTTCACAATGTCTTTTTCTAATATCATCAGTGACTGTTAGTTTTCTACAGAGAATACAAATATAATCCTTCTTTTTAAGAACTGATTTTAGGGTGAGGGATGGATGCCCAGTGCTACCATATTTGCATGCTGACTTCTTCAAAGTTTTTCTACAGGTTTAACCTTTAGATGAATGAAGGGGACAAAGACACTTCCCCATAACATTCATTTGATTGTCAACATGGGAAAATGCAGGCTCTCCAGCTAATGGTTAGCTCATTTTTACATTCACAGGCAAAGTATCAACTCACCTATTATATGGTCTCTGGCTGATTGGAGAGATCCAGGAGAAAAGAGCTTCAAGCCATATACTGTGTAAATCGAAGGATTTTTGTCTTTAGATCCAGCATCTAGCAGCAAAATAAGGCCACACAAGATACAAAAATATACTGGTCTGCTGTACATTATGATTTGATTGTGTCCCTGGAAAAGACAAACAAACAAAATATTTCTTAATGTTGCACTTCATCTTCCTATTTATATTCATGACAGTGTCTAAGCACTGCATAAAACTGATAGGGGGCAGAGACCAGCCAGTAAGTATTTTCTATACCATATTCCTGCTCTTCTTCTTGCCTTAGTTTCATTCATATGGGGTCAATTCTTCGAGTCCTTCTTCTCCATTCCACTCTGTCTTGAAGCAGTTCCTCAGAAACTCCACAACTAGTCAATTCCTTTTGTTTGACATCCATTCATCTAGTTTTGGGACTTCCAACTCTACTCTTACCCTCCACTTCTAATTTTAACATCCTGTTTCCTATATATTTTTCCAATCTTCTTTTCACATGCCTAAAACATCTAAGCCTGGATTCCCTCACCGTTTCTGTAATTGATACGACCTTCACACTTCCCCTAAATTGTTTGTTCTACTAATATAATGCTACAAGTGATTTTATCCACTTCTGAGTAGATTTTCAAAGGCACAAATGGCCCTTACAGAGCAAGATGCCTATCTGCCATTTGTGCCTTTGAAAATCTGCTCTTTCAGACCTTTTAATAATAATACAGAATTGTACAGAAGTCATTACCATACTCTGAGAAAAATCTAGATCTAGCTGAATCTTGCTCTTTAATAGCAAACTTTACATTTACATTTTTCCTTTCAAATGTAAAGCTAATTTTAATCAATGTCTGCTTCATGGTTCTTGACCTTTATGGCCAGCATTTATTAAATGAATGATAAAATTACAGTTTTTAATTTATATTATAATTTGCATTATATTAAGACAAGGTAGTTATTGCTACCAACAACATAGAAAAGAAGCTTTGTGGATCTCACAGGTATAAAGCTTCAACAGATATAAAACTTCAACCTTTCTCCTTTAGAAAATCGTGTGTGTGGTGTGTCTTATTGTAGATTACAAGTGAAATGAGTTTAAAGGTCTTGATTTAAATGCCATTGGTAGATGCCTGGTCATTACACAAAATATATACAGAGTTTGTCAGAACAAGCAGTTCTAGCTCAGAGAACACCTTCCAGCCCACCCTCTCCAATTCAGAAAGGGTAGGGATGGTACAAGGGAAGATTAACCCTTGAGTTCAAATTCGGTTCTCTTTCACCCCTGATGGAGTAGTTTCTACTTCTCCTCTGCCTCTGTTTTGCTTTCTATTGCCACAACTATAGCTGGTTCCCTACTGTAATGTTGTTTTGGCTCTGCACCAGGAATCCTAGTACTGCTGCCCCTGCTGGGACATATTTCTACATTGGAGAAGACAGGAAGGGACTCCAGCCACTTCCAGACTTTCTGGGGTAGACCCAGAAAAGAGACTTAGATTCAACATTGCAATGCCTTACTTTTACTCACCCTGCTACCTAATAAAGTCTACAGCACCAATTTAGGTTCCCAAATTCCCTATACAATGCATGGGGAGAGTTAGGTGTCTAAGAACGGGATCAACAAAAGCTGACACAGTGAGCGGGGAACTGACTAAGCTAACCAATGGGAGATGCCACTGAAAGGAATGAGCCATCACTCCTCTCCACTTCCCCCCCCAGCATCCCCTGATGCCACGAAAGCGGTAGGCGCTGAGAGTGGCGCTGATCGGCAGGACCCGCCAGCGGGCAGGAGGCGCTGGGGGAGGGGGAGTTTCTGGTAGGGGGGCTGCCGGTGGCCACTGCTCGCCTCCTCACCCCCACCCCCTGCTCTCCTCCTTTCCGTCTGCCCGCCCGCCTCCTCACCCCCCTCCCACCTGCCACTCGCCTCCCCGTTCATCTCCTCACCCTGCTTGCCCACCCGTCTCCTGCCTCACCTCCCAGCCCGCTTCCTCACAATTTGGTAAGGAATGGTGTCCCTAGCCTCTGTCTGTCAGAGGATGGAGATGGATGGCAGGAGAGAGATCACTTGATCATTGCCTGTTAGGTTCACTCCCTCTGGGGCACCTGGCATTGGCCACTGTCGGTAGACAGGATACTGGGCTAGATGGACCTTTGGTCTGACCCGGTACGGCCTTTCTTATGTTCTTATGATGGAAGTACAGGGGCCTGCCGGTCTCCCCGATTCGCTGTACCCATGGGAGGCTCTGGGTCCCACCCCTCAAATGGAGTTAGGCACCTCCCTCTGCTCAGGATTTACAGCTGTAGCAGGGTGGTCACCCGCTCCTGCCCTGCAGGGCTTGAAATCAGCCCTGGGAGAGGACTGAGACTGTGAGAGGGCTGCTGCTAGGAAAGCAGCAAGCCTCGGCTGATTGGGGAAACAGCCACAGCTGCGGCCATGCCCCAATCAGGCCACAGCTCGCCTGTATAAAAAGGCTGGGAGCCAGGAACTCTAAAAGGCTCTTTCCAGTCTTGGAGGGAGCAGGGCCTGGCTGTCTGAAGAGAAGGTACCGAGGGTGGAGCAGTGCTGGGAAGGGCCAGGGAGCTGGGGAGCTCCAGCCTAGCAGAGCCCCAGGCTGCAGGCCGAAGGAAGGGCCCACTAGAGGGTACTAGGGCTGCAGAGGGGCAGCTCCATTATAGGTGGAGGCAGCAGGTCCAAACCCCTCTTGCCTATGATGAGTGGCTTTTACACTGCAGTCTGCCCCAGTGAGCGGGGGCTAGATGGTGATTGGCAGTAGCCCATGACTGAGGCAAGGTAGGGATAGAGGGTTGGGGGTTCCCCTGGGTGGGGAGACGCTGAGACTGAGGGGGTATTGCCAGGGGGCAGCACCCCAAAGACAAGGGGCACCGGGTCCTGGGAGGGACACAGGGGCCAGCGGCAGCGGGACACCGGCCCGCAGAGGGCGCTCCAGAGGCTGGAAGAGCTAATTCCCTGGATGACCAGCAGGAGGCGTCACAGGGGTGAGTCCCACATGCTTACACAGCCATGAACCCTCTCCTGGAGTTAGGCATCTAAGTCGTTTCTTGCACAAAACAATGGAGGAGGAGAAGTTGGTGGTGGTACCCTGATAACCTTTAGCCCAGTGGTTACAGTACTCACCCAGCATGTGGGTTACCCAGGTTCAAATTCCCCCTCTGCCTGATGCTGCTGTAATCACTGGGCTAAAGATTACAGAGGGAGCAGGAGCATCCCCACCTATATGGTTTTGTGCCAGGTCTGATCTGGAAAGAGACCCCTACAAATGCCTACCAAATCAGGCCCCACCGGTGAGATAAACAGTTTGAGGATTCCACTATAGGTTAAGCATGAGCTAGATGCCTGGGACTTAGATGGCTGTGCACATGCAGATATGTAGGTGCCATGTGGACTTTAGAAGTGGAACCATAGGCACCTAGGGAAGTTAGGTTTTGAAGATTTAAATTTTCAACTTAAGCACCTCAAGTTGCAGTTAGGCAGCTAAATCCCTTTTGGATTTAGCCCTCTGTCCCCTCCAGCTGAAACAATCCTTGACTCAAAGATGTGGGTGGGGCAGCCTATGAGCAGGAAGAAGGAAGGGAAGGAGTGCACCTGGAATGGGCACAGGGGTGAGTCACTTTCATCTCAATTCCTCCTGCTGCTAGCTCCTCAGGCAAGTTGCTACTTGATGAGGCGACTGGGGGGGAGAGGAAGGCAGAAGTGAGAGAGAGACCTTCAAAAGCATCAGAAAAAGGCAAAGATAGTGACACTTCTACAGTGAAGTTGGTAGGCAAACTCCCATTGGTCTGGCTCACCCAGCTGCAAAACTCTAGCTGCCTCTGTCCACTTATCAGAGTATCAGCTGATATGACCCACTCAGAAGATAGCTTCATATTTTTACCTAATCTTGCAAACATACATGAGAACCAGGAATCTGTCTGTAAATCAGAGGCTCCTGCCACCTGTATTCTAAATAACATACAGAAGTGTTTACAATGGGCACCCTTACAACATTTATTTTTACCATTAGCCAAATCCTTAATGGGATTATATTTCCTATATCATTGCAATAGGCATTGCCATGATCACCAAGTGAGATGATGCCTTGCACTGCCTGCTTTCATGTCTTATTTCTTTGTTAATGAATTCACACCTCAGTTAAAGTTTTGTCCTGGGAGTCCAACCTCAAGTTTGCTCAGCCCAGACCCTAGATCTTCTCAAGAAAGAGAGTGTCACTTATACCTTGACAGCAGTAACTGGCCACCTATCTGATAGACTTGGCAGAACTCATTCAACCCTTACTCCGCAGGATCAACACCAGCTAACAGGATTGGGTGTTTTGGGCAGACTCTACTAGCCAAACTTTACCTAATGATCAAAAGTTAAAAGGAAACATTTTAAAAACTGCCTCTGCTTAATACTGTTACAACCTAGCTGGCTCATTACTGGGAAGTTTCCCCACACCAAGGCTGAGCTGGAGGGAGAGGATCTAGCCAGCAAAGGGCACTGCCTTGCCCAGTTTAACAACCAGCCAGTTGAGGTGCCATAATTCTTAGAGGACATTAAATTGAACTGTCTATTAAGTCAGAGGGGATTGGAGCAGCACACAAGTAGAAGCAGGCTGGAGGCAGCACTCTGGGAGCTGGATGCAGAGGGAAGGCTAGGGAACATGAGCCTGAGAATTGGGATTGCAAGCTGAGGGCTGGGCAGGAAACCTGTGGAGCCTAGTGCTTGGAGCACTAACAGTGCTTGCCTTTGAGCTCACAGTACACAGAGCACCCTACCAGACATCTAGGGGACAGGTGTTCATCACACACAGTAACATCCTGCAGTGTCGTCAGTTACACTACAGAAGTGTGGCTGTTTCCACATGCTCTAAACACTGTGGGGCCAAGAAACTGTGATGGAAATTCTAAGGGCAGGCACTCCCAACATTTTCTGAACATCCTTGCTTTTGGTCAGGCCAGAAATACCTTTAAAAACCCTCTTGCAATCCACCTAATCAGTGCTCAAATTACCGGGGGGCTTGTAGGGAAATGGTCCCCCTTATTAATGGGCCACCTCACTTCTATCTTATGGCCCCCTTACTTCTCACTACTGTTTAAATTAAAACAAGCCACTTGACATAGAGGGACCCATTACTTCCCCTCCCCC